CAAACGTTTTTTTTTTTTTTTAACAAAAAAAAAAAATACCAGACAATCCTTTGTCCATTCTTGGTCACTAACTTCCATGACGCCTCAGATGACAGTCTGGATACAAATCATTCCAACAGTGAACTTTGACTTCTCCAATTTACATCCACCACTGCAATCCAATAAATCTGGGGAGAACAAAATTCTTGCCTCTTCACTGGAGACTACACAAAATGTACATAGAATTAACAGAAAAAAAAAATACTGGTCCAAAAACCACACAATACATGCCAAAAGCTCCAAGCCACAGAATCAACCAATTTCATAACTGAGCCATGTCCTTGCCACCTAAATTTTACATTTTAAATACACCTTGATTCACAACTATTTCATACTCACAGTGACACAGCACACATAGTCTATTATCACCCTATTTATTCAACTACAACCAATTAATTACTTTTGTATTTGTGCATTACCAGATTTACTTGAACAAATCTTCACAAATTTACCACCATTAATTTTCTATAATTACTATTATTAACCATCTGCCTCTGTGTGCCAAAACTCAACTTGCACCATTTCAATTCCTTCTGTCCCTGGCTGCCTCCACAGGGAAAACAACTACTCATACTCAGCACATCCTAACAAATCCATTACTGGCTTTACTGTGGTTACAAGGATATTCTTCCTTTAGTTGTCTATCATGACCTGGCATCCCACAAGCCACTTGATCAATTCCTTTTTGGTCGTTGGTGCCATCCATAAGCCCCATGGATATCTTAGGGTATATCCATTCTATTCTGAATACTTCATAGTATACTGTTCCCATTCTACCCAAACATTGTCCAGTTTTCCTATCTGTATAGTGAGGTGGGATAATTCCTCCCATCCAGGAAATCCAAAACTTTGCAGGCTGACTCTGCTTATTCCCACAATTAATTTAATTTTTCCACAAAAAATTAACTCACAAGATTCACCAATTAACAACTTAATTCTTCAACCAATGAAAGAAAAAGACACGCATACAGCTCTTAAAATAAAAATTCCACACACTGTTCCAAAAATGAACAAAGCAATCATTTGTTAGTTTATTATGATTAACAAAATAATTCTCAACTTAAAACATTTGAATGCATGCAAAACCATAGTAAAAAAAATTTCAACTCATTAACAGTACACAGAAACCACTGGAAATTACAGTGGGAATGCCCCATCACAAAATACTGTCAGTCTTTCTTTTTCAAACCAATCCCATTGCGTTCACGTATGCGAATTCAGGCCTCCTTGTGGCCAACAGACTGCCAAACATACAACATTTGAATGCACACAAAAACATTAAAGTGCAGTAATCAAAATCAACAATAGATTTTTGCACATGTCTCTAAACTTCTGTAAAAAGACAAAAGAAAACAAAATCAGTCTCTCTAAAATGTTTCATCAAAATTGACCTTGACTCACCAGTGTGTATATGCGAGTGTGGGTGTTTACTGTATCCCTTTCTTCTGTTTTTTTTCTCTTATTTGTCCTTTTTTCATTCATCAAACCCTGTTCACTTACTGTTTTTTTACTTTTTTCTCCTTATTTTTTTCATCATTACTTCCTATTTTGATTTGCTGTTTAGATGTATGTATGTGTGAGTGTTGAACATAGTAATACCATTGTACTTACAGTTATTTTTTCTGTCCTTATGTCTTTATTCCCTTTGTTGAATCTTCAGTCTGAAAATCCTCTCCAAACTTTTTCATGTTGTGTTGTAACCTGCCATTCTGGATGAATGAATCAATCAAACACGCACAAAATAAAGAAACAGTCCTGAGTAATGTTGTGTTAGTATGCTATCAGCAAGTAACTATCATAATGTGCTTTTGCAATTAATTTTGTATGTTTTGCAAATATATAATTTCCACCTGAACATATTGTAGAATAGTCATTCCATATCAAATCAACAAGGGTCTGACAATCACCCACAATTTTTTTTTCAAATTTTGAACACTTATAGAGCTTCATGATAGAAATTGAATAGTACCTATTTTATATCTCTAGGTTAAAGGGTTCCCAAGACAGGATGCTTTGACCCTTGCCATAAAGGTGAATTTTGGAAAATAGCCACAAAGTTTAAATATCAATATCTTAGTTGTTTTTTCACCCATAATGCTAAATTATATACCATTTTAAAGTACTTGGATAGATCTAAAAGATGATCTATTTTATTTTTTAGAAATACACATAATGGAATTTTTATCTTTCATTGCATACATATCTACAAAATTTTCTATAAAGTAACTGACAAAAATTTATATTAAAGGATTTATTTTATTTATTAATTCTGAGACCAACTTTAGTAGATATTTAATAAGTTTAGTTCTTTACTAATTTTTCTATATGGAGAAAAAAATGTGACTCCCCACACTTATTTTCCATAGATTATACACATGGGGACAGCTGTAGAATGGATCAAATAAAATATTGTAGTAGCATTTAAAGCAACACAATGAATTCATCAGTCCAAATAACTCTTAGAATGATAATGATAGTAAGCATAACTGTCTGGCACAAGGCCATGTTAGCCAAGCACCCATCCAGTATCTAACTAGCAAGGACAGACAAAAATATCTTTTTTATCATCATCAAGTGTTTATTTAATTTTTTTAGAAATATGGAGTGTGAGCTTAACCCTTTCACTGCATAATTAAATTTCATGGTCATTCTTGTAATGATGTTAATTATCCACCCAAAATAAATAAAAATATCCACATCTTGCAGCATAAGGTGGCCTCTTTTTCGAAGCTGTTGCTTAAATCTGCTTTCTTCAGTGAGTGGTAATAGAATTTTGAGCAGATATATATGTTCTCCACAACAAAAGGTTTAATTTATACTGGATTATATCAGTTTGCCTCAAATTGTTGAAACTCTGTTTTTATTTTCAAACATCTTTCACATTTGATGTCAGTGTTCAAGTTACGCTTGTGGATTGTCACCATATTTTATTTTACTTTAAAAGAGGTGTTTTCTTTTTCCTAAATGTCTCTCCATCTATATGATATTCCAAATGCATTTTTTTTTAGGACTTCTATAGATATTCTTATCTCTTAGTGAATTTGTCTCTGACAAGCAAGAAAACCCCTACAGACAAATTCACATACATATATTTGAATTTTATAAATTTTGGAGTATTCGTGATAAAACCATTAGAATAAAATATAAAAATTATCACGAGTTTTCTTCTGATATTAAAAGAATAACTTTAAAAAACTAATTCAGTAAAGTAAAGTAAAACTTCATTTTCTATGAGTTGTCTAGTTTAAAAATACAATATGCATATTTGTCAGGTTTAATAATGAGTGTATGTAGGCATCGCAATAAGTCTGTAGCCTGTTCATGAAAAAAAGCATTTAATTTTATACAATAAATATTTATTTTTCAACATTATATCTATCTTTGTACCTGTACATTAAAAATGAAATAGAATTTGATGATAACTAACTGGTTAGTAACAAAAGGCTACCAATCTTGAGTAAGTCTTTTTCTGGACATTTTTTTTTTTTGACTAGAATTCTTTTGCAACATGCTGCCATGTGTCGAAATCCTCACAGTATCACTAACATTTGTCGAGATTTACAAACTCTGTTTCATTCAATTTTGCAAACCAATCATTGAAATTTGAATAAGCTTATTTGTTTGAAAAATACTTAAAAAAAAACAACCCTATTTTGTGGTTTAATAATTTCTTTAATTTAATTTTATAAAACTTCATGATAAACAATATTTTTTAAGAAAATTTTTTTTTTTTTCCTTTTTAACAGCAACGAATAAATTCTTAGGATTTCTTACTCTTGTGCATGCAACATTCAGCTGACCATGCTTAAATATTTTTTTTCTGGAGCCAAATTCCAACTTTTTGAAGCATTTGGATTTGTGATTTGTTTATAGTTCTCACAAATGCTGGGTGAACTGGAAACTAGATTCTTGTATATATAAAAACTTAAAGAAAAGATATGCAAAATGCAATATTGCATTTTTATTAAATAAGTACTTGTTATTTTAATCATTAAATTGAGTGGGGGTATTTTGTATGCTAAATAATTAAACTTTTAATTTTTCCCCCCAAAAATGAATGAAAATTAATTGTACTAAGCTATGCACCCAAGTAAAACCAACTGTACTTTGTACCCACTTACCTGGTTGCACCTTTCCCAAAAATTTGGTTTTGGTCGGTCAATGTATAGCTATTTTAGAGGGTGTGATGGACAGATGGTCTAATAGAAGTCACAGAATTTTATCTGTAGATGAGAAAATAGTCTCTTTCTAGTGCTGGTTTGTTAAATTGATGTAAAAAAAAAAAAACATACTGTTTTTGTCTGCTGATTCAGATGATCTTGTGACAGTCTCCATACACTGGTTTATCTTCTGAATAGGACAAAAAACATACACACACACACACACACACACACAAAAAAAAAAAACTAAAAAAAAACAGATGAATATTGACCATCAATAATAAAGGTGAACAAGAGAAGAGAGGAACAAAAACATTAAAGATTGAGTTCCTTTTGTTGAACAAGAAGAAAAACAGCTGATGCAATAGAGGCAGCATGGGATTTGAATATCTTTCATGGAAAATATTGCATTTTGTTTGGCTCAATCAAAATGCTGACATTTTGTCAATATTAGAAGAAAAAAAAAGAAAAAATTGCTGCTTGTAGTAGATGAACAAGAACTTTCTTGTTCACTTGTCTTCTTACAAAATATGTATGCATGTGAGTTTATATCAATAAACCAGAAAATTTGTGCATTAATATATACATATCATATTGCTTGTATAACTATTTTAACCACTATTTTCCTGATTGAATTTCTGAGATGAGTCATTGTTATTATTATACATTGATTATTTCAAACCAATTTACTTGTCTTGAACATTTTTTTTTACAGTATCTTAATCACTGTACATTCCAGTTTCAGCCTTTTTTCTATCTCAGTTTCTCAGATAGGTATTGTTACTATTATACACTGTTTATGGTGATATCATATTGAAACACCAATTCCCATATGATCACTGAATTTAAGCAATGTTAGTATTTGGTTAGTACCTAGATGGGTGACCACTTGGGAATACCAGTTGCTGTAAGCTTGGATGTGCAGGTGGTGTAATGGATAATGGTTCAGAATTGTTAATTGGAGTTCCAATTCCAGTTGGGTTTGTTATATTCACTTATGGGCAAATACCCTTAGGAAAAGTATGAATTCATTTTTTCTCCCTCCAGTTATGGATTAATTAGTAAAACTTGTATCACTAAATCATCATTACCGTGCCCCAAAATTCTTATAATGTAAGAAAATTTTCTGGCTTTAAATAACCTGCAAATGGTTTATAAATTGTAGAAAATGAATGAATGACTCAATCAATATTATACACAGATTTTTAAAAACCAATTTCCTCATCTTAGTTGTTTTAGTCACAGTTTTAGCTACTATATTGTTTGGCTTTTCCAGGTTGTCTTCAGAAAAACATATTTCTTTTAAGAAATTCAAGTGCATAGACTTCAAATATTACAACTGTGGCATCATCCAAACAATAACTTGGTATAATGGTTTTCAGTATAGAAAATGAAATTGGCAAACAGTGTTCAAATTTCAGCCATGGCAGATTATATTTACACAAATATTCTCAGTAAAAAAAAACATGAATCCATATCTGTTTCATTGCCAGATATATTTTCTTGTCTTTATTGAATATATTTCATTTGAAGCCGTCTTTAGCCTTCTTTGAGTATCTGTATCATTCAGTATCCTGCAGGACACTGTCTAATGGATTTGGCTCCCTGGAATTTTAATCCTTGGGTCAGCATCATTGGGAAATATTGGAGGGTTCTGAAAATAAGAATAAGAGGACCATTCCTTTGTAGATTAAAGAAAGGGATTTGTTCAACATTCTAGGAAGCTATGATATACAAGACATACTTAAGGTTGGAAGGTGCATCAGCTAAAACATTGTAACCAAAACAACAATCTGCACAAGTCAGTTAACACATTATGTCAAACTTAAAAAGCAAAGAAAGAAGCCCCTATCAATACTGGAAAAGAGTGGAAACAGCTACTGGACTTGACAAACCTATTTTCTTGAAAAAAAATTTTTAAGAAAGATTTCATAAATTTCAACCAAAAGCATCACTAGCTGCTTGGTCAGTGAATGCTGAATGTTTCCTTAGAAGGAAATGGTTAATATTGCCATTACCATTTTCAACTAGATTGTAAGCATAATTTCTTACTTATTTCAAATTCTTAAATAAGAAATTCTGTAAAAATGACTTCTTCTCTAAATTGTACATTTATTGCTTTCTTGGGTATAATAATAGCTCTCAGTGATTTATGCTTGTTAAACTTATATACTTTTTAATCAATGAAATAATGAAGAGTGAATATGGTTGGTATAGTAAACTTCTCAATTTCCTTTGTAAAATGAAAGCAAACATATTTTTGCACTTTGCTAGTCAAGTTTTTTGAGAAATTAAGTAATGAACATATTTTAGTTGGCAAATTTTTTTTTTAATCAATTCACCCCAAGCAAGATGATAATGTCACTAAGATGCAAGGAGCTACTGGGAGTGAAAAAGAATGAGAAGATGTTAGAAGGAACCAAAAACCCAATCCTGAACAGGAAACCAGGAATAAACCTGTACTCTTGTTCAAAAGACCAGTGAGCTGGGTAATAGGTGATCCTATCTAATGAACGAAAAAATAAATATTAAATAAAATTTCAAAGTTTAGTCAGAGATGTTAGAAGTATAAAGTTGATATAGACTTTAGAAGGAACTGGAAACCTAATCCTAAACATGAAACAATGAAAAATATTTACAATATTTTTCTGCTATTAATTGATACTCAAGCTCGGGATTTCAGATGTTGATTTTTAAAGTGACAGAGCTCCTCAATTGGAAGTTTGACAGAATGAAGCCTTCTAATGCCTGTTTATCATATTTGATCTGGTTTTGTATCAGCTGAGTAAATATTTTTTTTTTTTTTACTCAGCTGAGCATAGTTTGGGCACAAAGCTACATGCATTTAGGATCAAATAGAACAGTTTTAATGGTTTATGAGACAGGTTTTTAACTCATACTCCATCCCAAAGACCTCCTTCATTATGTATTTGTATAATAAATTACTCAGCTTATTTTAAGCACAATGTTACTCAGTTGTAATGACCTGTGAGATCAACCATTACTTAGTCTTAAACTGTCATAGACTTAGTAAATTAGAGCGGTAAGTTCTCTGTGTTGTAAAACATCAAATTCCATGTTCTTCTGTGATGGTAAATTTCAATTTTCCATTTTTGTTTCATAATTGTAAAAACACTAAAAACAGAGATTCATGTTTAAACAGTAAAATATACAAATATATAGCATACTTATATAGGCATCTTTTTATTTTATTTTTTTTTGTGCTTCAGCGATTTCTGGTAATTCACAGGCATGTCCATCTGAGTGCAATTTATGGTGTGTTGACAAAAACTGCAAAATAATTTAACGCTATCATGATAAAAATCATCACAGAAAGCTGGCTCTTCAGCTCTGTATTTTGCCAAAAGTGTGCACCCACCAAGTTTGCTAGCTTTTCATTCACTCATCGTGAAAGATAAACTGGCATTTAAAAATTTAATTTAATTATTAAACAAACAACTTTTATTTTTACTGCCCTTGACGGTGTATGTCACGTTATTCATATGCTAACATTGCACATAGGTCTTTGCCCTGCAGTGACTGGTTTGGTCAGATTAATATCATGAATTAGGTGATGGCGTTTGTGCAGTATTGGAAAATACCCCATGTTATTTATAGAATGATATGTTGCAGCAATATAGGTTGTAGCATTTGTGCATAAGTGACTGACTTTGCTGTGTATTGCAAATTTATGCAAAATAATGATTTTGTCAACTTCTGACTCAGGAATTTTGCTTTTTACCATCAGAATATTTTACTTTTTAGTAGTAAAACTCCAGTTTCTGTGATTTTTCCATGTTTTCCATTTTCTACTTCCATGTTTTTTTTTCTGTATTGTGGAGAACATGTCACTCTATAGAAAATAATAAGTATTATAGTCTCTTGGAGCCTCTGTTAGTCTCAGTAAATATATTTCCAGCAAGATCAAGGGTAGTAATTGGTAGTAATTTCAAAGAGAAAAATCTACATTGTTTTTACAGGCTCTTTTATTAAATGCCAAAAATTTGTATTTGGCCTAAATAAATATTTACTAAAAGAAGTGAGTTCAAAAGACTTTTTAGGGCAAAGAAGAAAGATTTAAATTCTCAGACTTCAAAGAAACAGACAACTGACTGAAGTCAGTATATAATTTCTTTTTATTTGTTATTACTTTACAATTTAATTCTAATGTTTTTGCTGATATACTCAAAGCAGCCAACTAACTGTTAATTTTTTTTAATGTTAGTTTAAAGCAGCATTTCTAAACCAAGGTTCCCCAGAATCCTAAGGTTCTGTAAAAGGTCCCCAAGGGTTCCACGAGAACAAACTAATGCACTTTTGACTTTTTATTTAATTTCATATATGTAATACTAAACACTATTATTAAACACACACAATATATTCTTGGTTATTTTAATATTGTAATATAGACATCATCCAATCTAACCTGTTATGTTATTAAAAAATATAACAATCATTGGGAATATATTTAGTGATGTTTGTACAGTGCCAGTGCAAGGTAAAAAGGTTGAGAAACACTGGTTTAAAGGATGATATATTTTATTTTTATCAGCTATTTATTTTTAAATAAAAGTTTAGTTTTACTTTAGAATCAATCATAATACTTTAAAGTAATACAAGAAAAGATTGAGAATATAAATTACAATGTCATAAATATTGGTCTTGCAACCTGATCATCTCTACTAAATATTGTATAATCCATTATTATAGTAACAAGTAGCATGGTTTACCACTTAATAAACAAGTTACCATAACATTTCATTGGAAGTAGTGAGTTGAGGGATCAGGTTGCAAATACATTGCATTTGATTTTGTATTCATTTTTTTGAATATTTCATGTTTAATGATTTAAAAACAGTATTATTTTTGGTTTATGGCCATATCACATTGAGACACCGGTTTTCATACAATCTCCAGTTAAGTAATGTTGAGCTTGGTCATACCTAGGTGGGTGACCATTTGGGAATACCAGGTGCTATAAGCTTGGATGTGGGGGTGGTGTAATAGATAATGGCTCAGAATTGTTAATCAGAGAGCTGTTCCAATTCTATTTGGGTTCATTATATTCACTTGTATGTTAGTTTCCTTGATAAAGATATGAATCTACCTCTTCTCCCCACAGCTATGGGGTTAATTAGTAAGACTTGTATCAGTCAATTAAGTGCCATATGTGGTACACGCTTAGGTGATCATGTCTCTTTCAGTTTATGACTGATGAGGCAGAAGATTTTCCTGCAGTAGGTTGTCATTTCTTTTTGTGGTAGACTGGTTGCCAACCAAGCCCAGTGTGTCTTGTTATTCAACCCATAGCTGGGAGGAGAAGAGATAGATTCATAATGTTCCCAAAGGTATTTGCATGTAAAATTTGTATCACTGAATCATTAATATCTCAAAAAAACAAAAATTATTACAATCTAGAAATATTTTCTGGCTTTAAATAACCTACAAAGGGTTGATAAGAACTAAACTTGTAGTTGATTGTATAGATAAAATCCTAGATTATACATACAGAAAAAATAATGAATTCAATGTTTTTATCATCATTTTTTTATGTTTATACTTAAAAAATCATCAATGCAATGTTTATTCTGTCATTTTTTGATCATGCAGAAAAATTAGTATATTAATGATATAATTTTGCAAGTAGGTTATTTAAACTTAATTCTGTCTGGCACATAATAATAATAATACAGGATGTACCTCATCAAGATAAAATTTGATATATGGGCCATTATCTGAGAGATCAACTTACTAACCTATACTATAAATTCTTGTTTACAAATATAGTTTTATAACAGAATTTGAAGTGATGTTTATTATCAATTTTAAAGTAATGTACATGTTGCTATTGATTATGAAAATTAACCAAGATCTAAGGAAATAAAATATAAATGTATGTATTTGAATCAGAG